CTCCTCCTCCTCCTCCTCCTCATCATCATCATCATCATCATCATCATCATCATCATCATCATCATCATCATCATCATCATCATCATCCTCTTCCTCCTCCTCCTCCTCCTCCTCCTCCTCGTCTCCTCGTCCTCGTCCTCGTCTTCCGCCTCCTCCTCCTCCTGCTCCTCCTCCTCATCATCATCATCATAAGCATCATCATCATCACAGCAGCATCATCAGCATCATCATCAGCAGCATCATCATCATCGCCATCATCATCATCATCATCATCAGCATCATCATCATCATCGTCATCATCGTCATCATCATCCTCATCATCCTCATCATCATCATCCTCGTCATCATCATCAGCATCATCATCAGCATCAGCATCAGCATCAGCATCAGCATCATCATCCTCATCATCATCATCAGCATCATCAGCATCATCAGCAGCAGCATCATCAGCATCATCATCATCCTCTTCCTCCTCCTACTCTACCCATACTTCCTATAAGCAGCTCCCTAACGTCTCTCCACAAAGCTTGTTGCTAGGGCGGGCCCAACGTTTGGCCTCCGTCTCTCTCACCACGTATGACCCTGATGTTTGAGAAACTCACAGGTACACGGATGGAGCACAGGCGGTGAGCTGAATGCTGCTCTCGCCTCAACGCCGCACACGTGCGTCTGAAAGTTTGCAACCGCTACTTGGATGCCTCACAGCGGCTTCGGACATGTGGGTGTCGCCTCAGAGCCGCGCACGTTTGTTCTCAAGAATGGCAACACCTCCACGGATGGAGCACGGGTGGCTTTGAAAGTGTGGCTCTCGCCTTGTTACCACGCACCCTCGTCTGCAAGCTCCGCCTCAGACGCAAAGATGGGGGACGCGTGGCTTTTTGTTACCAAGCCTTCCGCAGGCAGCGAGGCAGCCGTACATACCCGGGTCTTTGTGCAGCGATCGCAGAGGGCGGAACGTGTGGCTTGCGGCGCAGACGCGGCGACGGCGCCGGCCACCGGTAAAAGCTAGCTGGATGGAAAAGAGCAGGCTGGCCGCGAGCCCGGGAGGGGGGGGGAAGGCAGAGAGCGGACGGGCCGTCTCAGAAGGCGGCTGGACTGCTCAGACGACCGCCAGCCTTCCGAGACGCCCCCTCTCCACGTCGGAAAGAAAAGAACTCGGAGGCCTCTCGAGCCTGCTGCAGAGGTCCGCCCCCGCTGCCTTCCCTCCATCGGGGGCGCGCAAACATGGATTAGCGACCCATGGATTTGGAGCGCGGTCGCCAAATCCATGGATCGGGGGAGGTGCCCTCCCCAAAATGCGGCCGGTGCCGCCCCGCTCGGCGGCGGAAATCCGCGATTTACCATGGAAACGGGACCCGTCGCTAATGCACGCCCCCTTGAATCCATGTTTGCGATCGCCTGACTCCCGGGCGCGCCGCCGCAGCAGAGGGTGGAGGGACCAGGTCGACAGGGGGGGCTGGAGTGGCGGGTCCTCCGTGGGGCGGCCTCGAGAAAGAGTGAGGGCTGCGCGGAGGGCCCACCAGCGCGGCTGGCAACATGCGTTGGCACGATCAGCCGCACGAGCCAACGTCGTGCCTGTCGCCAAAAAAGCCCGCCCCCCGGGCGCCAGAGATCTCCCTCCCCCCCGCCACTCATCCCACCAGTGCACCTCCCCCCGCCTCGCTGCTTTCGGTCGGGCACAACAGTGGCAGGAGCAGGCCTACTGCGTCGCCGACCCCTTGGGGTGTCACCGGCGTGTGACACGTTTCATTCCCCCATCACCCCTCCCTCGGGCTTCTCGTTTTCAGAATTGAAGGGGGGAGACAAAAGGTGTGAGGGATCCGTGACAAGGGGGTCACATTGACAAGCCATGGTGGCGGCCAGACGTTTCGTGCGGACCCCCACTGTCACATGCAGGCGTAACCCTTATGTCTTGACAGCTTACGCAACGAAGACCTTCTCCCTGCTTGCACTCCCCGCTGTCACATGTATCCCGACGGACGCGCTTGAAATTCACATGTGACAGGAAGCCCAACTGCCCGATGTCCTGAAACGAGCGCAGTGGACATAAACATTTGACACTGGGGCCCCACGGTCCAACAAAACGCATTCGCTAAAGCTGGCAATCGGCCCCGCTGTCAAACTCACGTTTCGGCTGAGAAGCTGGCAATGAAGCCCCAGATCCGGAGGACTCCGATAAGATCTGTACATGTACATATATATATATACACATACATACATACATACATACATACATACATACATACATACATACATACATACATACATACATACGTACATACGTACATACATACATGCATGAATACATACATACAAACACATACACATACACATACACATACACATACACATACACATACACATACACATACACATATACATATATATACATAAACATATACATATACATATACATATACATATACGTATACATATGCATATGCATATACATATACATATACCTATATATATACATATACATATACATATACATATACATATACATATACATATACATATACATATACATATACATATACATATACATATACATAACATATATATATATACATATACATATACATATACATATACATATACATATACATATACATATACATATACATATACATATACATACATGCATATACATACATACATACAGACAGACAGACATACATACATACATGCATACATACATACGTACGTACATGCATACATACATACACCTATACATACATGCATGCATACATACGTACGTACGTACGTACGTACGTACATACATACTACATACATACATGCATGCATACATACATACATACATGCAATGCATACATACATACATACATGCATACATACATGCATGCATGCATGCATGCATGCATACATACATGCATGCATGCATGCATGCATCATGCATGCATGCACCTGCTGACCTCTTTGATGCCTGTTCGGGTCTCTGAGACTCTGGGGAAACCTCTCGGCAGCCTCTTGGAAGGCAGTTTTGAAGCTTCTCGGGGCGCCTTTCGGGGCCTCTTTTTGGCCCTCTTTTGGGCGTCTTGAGTCCTCTGGGGAGTCCTCAGGGGCTGTTTCCGGTCTATGGAGTCCTGTTGGGGGGAGGCCTCGAAATGTGAGTTCGAATATTTCCCTGGGGCCCCTCTTGGGGCCCTCTTGGGGTCATCTTGGGCGGTCCTGGGTGATCTTGGACCGTCTTAGGGCCATCTTGGGCCGTCTTGGGGGCCTCTTGGAGACCTGTTGGGCCGTCCTGATACTGCGAATCTCATTCAAAGAGAGAGAGAGAGAGAGAGAGAAAAAAAAAAAAGAAAAAAAAAAAAAAAGAGGGAGAGAGAGAGACAGAGAAAGAGAGAAACAAAACAAAACAAAACAAAAAAAAATGGGACGAGTTTTGCCTCTTCGGGCCCTCTCGGGGGTCCTCTTGGAGCCATCTTGGGGCGCCTTGTGGGCCTCTTGGGCCGTCTTGACGCAATATGGGGCCCTCTGGAAGCCATCATGGCCCGTCTCTGACCGATTTGGAACTTACCCGGAAGGGAAGCTCCCAAAGGGGCCAGGGAAGATCTGGGGAGGCCCCAACCAAGGAGGCCCCGGGGAAGCCTCGGGAGAGGAGGAGGAACTTGGTGTATTTCACATGCCCCTGGTGGTCTACGGCCTGGGGGGCCCCTGGGGTCTATGAGGAACTAGACAGGGCTGGACCTAAACATTGTTCTTCGTTTGGTGCTCGTTTTGTGATTCGTCTTGCTTCACCTGTTTTCCCGTACCTCCCCCCACACAGAAAAACAAAGCACAACCGAAGTCCAGCAAATCAGCGTTTAGGTCCAGCCGTGGAACTAGAACCGTTGCGCGCGCTTCGCGCGCGCTCAGGCTCTTCGGAATCCCAACTCGCAATGCGATGTCGAGGGTTCGGCGACGACGCCACGGAAACACGTAGTAAACAGCCCTCCCCTGAGCACAGAGGTCTCCAGGACGGCGTCGAAGAGGACGAGGGGGGCGGCTTGGAGGTCGAGAAAGGGGAGAGGAGTCCAGGAGCAGGAGGGGCCACCGTGCCCCTCGTCCACATGTGCCCCGACTGTAGAGGCCTTCTGCCCATCCTGCCACCGTGCCCGGGTTGTTGGTTTGAGACCTCTCGAAGGCATGTTCGGGTCACTGGGGAAGCCTCTGGGCAGCCTCTTGGAAGCAGTTTTGAAGCCTCCTGGTGCGCCTTTCGGGGCCTCTTTGGGCCTCGTGGGCAGCCCTTGGGGGCTGGTGGCGGTCTTCGGGGTCCTCTTGGGGCAGAAACCTCGAAAAAAGGGCCCCAAGACGACCCCAAAAGGGGCTCAAGAGAGGGAGCACGAACCGACAATCCCCGCCTTCCGCCCCACGAGGCCCCCAGGAGGCCTCGAGAGACCCCAAAGAGGCCCCAAGAGGCCCCAAAGAGGCCCCCAAGAGGCCCCAAGAGGTATCCAAGAGGCCCAAAACGGCCCCCAAGAGGCTTCAAAACTGCCTCCAACGGGCCCCCAAGAGGCCCCCCACGAGATCGCAACGAACATCCAATAGGCTTCAGACCCACAACCCAGGCACGGTGGTGGGATGGGCCGAAGGCCATTAGATGGTCTCCCTTACGATCTCCCGTACGGTCTTCCGTCTGGTCTCCCCCCCGTATTGTCCTTTCCCCCCCGCATTGTCCCGTTAGATGCCCTCCAACATGGTCTCTCGCATGGTCTCCCGCAGAATCTCCCCTGTGATCTCCCGTATGGTCTCCCGAATGGTCTTCCGCACGGTCTCCCGTATGGTCTCCCGCGTGGCTCTCCCGTGTGGTCCCCCGTATGGCATCCCGTACGGTGTCCCGTGTGGTCTCCCCGTGTGATCCGTGCGTATGGCATCCCGCGCCGTCTCCCCCCCATGCGGCCTTGCTATGGTGTCTCGCATGCTCTCCCGTGCGCCTCCCTTATGGCCTCCCGCGTGGCGTCCCGCCTGGTGTGGCCCCGCACGTCGGCAGCTGAACGGTTGGGCCCCGAGGGATGGGGCCCCGAGAATAGGAAAGAGATCCCAAGCTGAACCCTTGCCGTTGGCTGAACCTTCACTGTCTGAGGCCACTCGCCCTGAGGGCCACATTTCTCAGGGCTCCGTGTTTGAACCGTCGAGAATGGCGGCCCCTTGAAGCTCAGAAGAGCGGCAGAGCCGAAGACGGCCAGAGAAGACCCCAGGGTGCCTCCAAAAGGGCCTTGGAGGGCCCAAGACGAAGACGGCCCAGGAGCACCGCTGGAGGACCCCCAAGAGAGCCTCTGGAGGCAGAAATCGCTCGCCTTCTCGCCTCTCCGAGCTGCCGACCGCTCAAGATGGCCCCCGGGGCCTCCAAGATGGCCCTCAGGCCGCCCAGGAGGGCGCCATGATGGCCCACGATGCCCCCTAAGACGGCCCCAAGACGGGCCCCAGACCAAGACCCCTCCACGAAGACGGCCCTCGAGCACCCACCGCAACAGCGCGCAGAGAGGCCCCCAAGACAGCCTTCCAAGGCGCTGAACGGGCCAAGATCGGCGGCGAGCCCGGGGGAGAAATGAGAAGGGGCGGGCCTTCTCAGAAGGCTCCGAAGTCCCCTGGCCTTCTGAGAAGTTTTCCAGGCCTTCCCCGAAGACACAGAAGCCCCACCGCCTTCCGAGAAGGCCTTCTCCTTCTCACTTCCCCACCCCTCCTCGCTCGCCGCCAATGAGAGCGCCCGACGACAGCCCAGGATGCCCACCTAAGAGGCGCCACGATGGCCCTGCAGAAGTCCCCGAGACGCCCCGCGTGACGCGCCAGGCAGGACGGCGACGTCCCGTGCTCCTGGCCGCTCGCGCGGCGTGCGGGGTGCGAACGCCCACTGCCGAGCACGGCACCTGGCACGCCGCGCGGAAGCACGCGCGAACGGCAAAGTCGCGAGAGGGAGGAGGAGGAGGAGGAGGAGGAGGAGGAGGAGGAGGAGGAGGAGGAGGAGGAGGAGGGAGGAGGGAGGAGGAGGAGGAGGAGGAGGAGGAGGGAGGAGGGGGAGGAGGAGGGGGAGGAGGAGGAGGAGGAGGAGGAGGAGGAGGAGGAGGAGGAGGAGGAGGAGGAGGAGGAGGCGGAGCAGGAGGAGGAGGAAGAGGAGGAGGAGGAGGAGGCGCAGGAGCAGGAGGAAGAGGAGCAGGAGGCGCCCATGGTCCCGCAAACGTCCCCAAGACGCCCCACCGTGCCGCGCGAGGGCCCCCGGGCTGCGCACCTCTGCAGCCGCAGCCGGCTCCGCGGCTCGGGGGGCCCGCTGGCAGAGGGTGGGGCCCTCCGCTTTTTACGTTCGCGTGCGCGCGTGTGTGCCCTCCTTCTGTCAATCAAAGCTGTGCGCGGCCCGCTCAGCTTCGACCGGAAGAGGCTCGCTCTCGACCCGCGGATCAAAAAGAAGTGCGTGTGTGTGTGTGTGTGCCCTGCTCCCCGTTCCGCCGTACTTCGTGAGTGATCCCAGGGCTGGACCTGAACGCTGTTTTGCTGGACTTCGGCTGTGTCTTGTGTTTCGTTTTGGCGGGGAGGCACAGGAAAACAGGTGGAGCAAAACGAAGAACAAAACGAAAACAAAACGAAAAACAACGTGCAGGTTCAGCCCTGATTGATTCTCTGGCGTAGAATCGAGGGCGACGATAGGGGGCGAATAGCCAAGGGGAGAGCAATACATGTATCCAGGGGCGCCGATGGTCCCTGCCTTCGGCGAGGCGAACATGTGTAATGCCCGCCCCTGGGCTACTCGCCCCCATCGTCGCCTCCGATAGGGCTGCGTCGGACATGCACCCCACACGATGTGAAGAAGCCAGGCGGAAACTGCCGCCTCAGAGAAGTGGGGCGGGCATTTCCGCCAGGGTGCGGCGGAAAAAGCGACGGCACAACAGGGCGGAGATCGACATCAACTTGAAAAATAGGGCGGAAATTCCCGCCCTACTTACGAAATCGCCCAAACAATACGACAGATCAGGGATCAGGTGGCACTGGACTGGCGACTGCCGTCAAATTGAAGCCACTGTGCCTCTTACAAGGCTGCTGAGCCTCTAAATCGCCCCGAGTCGCTCGGGACACTTCATGTCGCTGCTCAGGCGCTCCCTCTTCGACTGCTCGCTAGCGAAAATGATCAGCAAACCGCTTACGATGAGCAATACCCCAAAATCCTTGCAATCAGGTAGGCTCATGTCGTACCGGATCCCCCACCCGACGCCCATCATGCATACCAGGACCGCCGAGATGGTGGTGGAGGTCACGGGTTGCATGCCCATGTACACAGTCGTGACGGACGGCTCCGTGTGCTGGTTGGCCCACGAAAGCAGTGGCCACGCGACAAGGGTGCAGATGACCACCTCGTAGCACAGCGGCAGAAGGGCCTCCCGGGGTACGCTGAGGCCCTGCGCGTAGCACTGGGACTCAAGGCTCGCCTTCTCGCTGTAGCACAGCAGGCCCATCAGTGGCGGGAAGACGACCGCCAGACGGTGGGTGAGCAGCAGCAGGCTGCTGCCAATCATGTTGGACCACATCACAGTCGCGCACGCGGAGTACTTGCTGCCGAGCTTGTTGTGGATGAGGAAGTAGGCCGAGGTACCCGTGATTCCCGTGCAGAATATCGCGTGGCTGGCGAACTTCGTGACCCAGGAGCGGCTGCTCGCTGCGCCCACGGCGTATGCCGCCGTGCTGTCCAAGATCACCATCAGAATCGCGCCGCTTGCGGAGACCGCGATGCCCAGCGCCTGCTTCGAATCGATCTTGGACTCGCCCATGGCGAAGGAGAGCCCCGCGGTCATGATCGGGAGAAAGGCCTGCCACGCCGACCCCGCGACCGGATCGGCCAGCTTCAGGCCGACGAACCAGGCGGCCTTGATGGGCCGACTGCCCACCACCACTGCCATAGGTAGGAAGGGGCGGAGGAGGAGGAGGAGGAGGAGGGACCTCCCCATCCTCCATTCTCCCCCGTCCTACCTATTGCAGTGGTGGTGGGCAGTTGGCCCATCAGGCCTGGTTCGTGAAGAAGGCCACGCCGCCGAGCAGTATCGTGGGCACGTCCACGCGCTCCGGGAGCAGGACCTGCCTCGTGACGCACACCGCCAAGAGCAGGAGACAGAAACTCAGGAACTCCCTGAAGAGCTCGAACATGATGGGATTGGAGCAATGCACCCCGAACTTACCCACGATCGCGCCCCCACCGAAGAGCGCGTAGCCTGTGCATAGCGCGAGGTGCACCAGGAAGACGGGCGGCTTAGAGTGGGCGCCCTCCCTTGGGCCGTCGAGAGTGCCGTAGGTGCCTTTCTCAACAGACAAGGCTGCAGAGTCCACGTCGAGCATCTTCCCGACCATTATGTTGATATGCACGGTATGTAGAGAAAGCAGGCTATGTATGTATAGGTTTCAAACAGAGGGTCCCTCCGTTCACCTCAGTGACAGGAACATGCGCGCAATGCGCTGAGCCAAAACCGCCGCGCGCACTCGTCTTACAGTCTTGTAACTGCCAACCGGGTGGAGGGCGTTTTCTCTTCAACATGGGCATCTCGCTTCAGACTTCTCCACATGTGCAACAAACTCGCAGATGGAAGGCGGCTCATCGTCAAAACGGGGTTCGCTCTTATGATGTATGTTCTGACGTTATGCTCCGACGCGCAAGGGTGCACAGCAATTCACGGATGCAGGCGGCTCCGTTCCAACATGTGAACATTACACGTTCCCTCATCGCCTGCAGGGCAGACCAATAGGGAAAACGTCGTTCAATGTGGCACTCCACATAGTGGAAAGGAATGCACATTCATGATTTACGAGGCTTGGACGTGTAACAAACGGCCTGTTGCAGTTTCGCATCCCGAGTTAACTAAGGTCCCCCCTGATTATCCTGCTCATCTTCCTCGTTCCCATCCGATCCCCCTCCTCCTTCTCCTCCTCCTCTTCCTGCTCATCATCATGTCTTCTTACTTTGATTGGTACCATTGCTATTAGTCGCATTATTCTGTTGTAGTATTAATATTAGTATTATTAGTGTTATCATTATTCTTATCATTATGATTATTAATCATCTTATTATTCTTCTTATTCGACTTCATATCATTCTGAATATTATTATTGTTGTTTGTTACCATCCTCACCATCCTCATCATAATCATCATCCTCAACACCACCACCACCACCACGACCAAAATCATCATCATCATCATCATCATCATCAGCATCACCACCACCACCAGCACCACCACCATCATCATCATCATCATCATCATCATCATCATCATCATCATCATCATAAGCAGAATCATCATAAGCATCGTCAGCATCATCATCAACAGTATCATTAACCACAACATCATCATCATCGTCATCGCCATCGCCATCGTCATCGTAATCATCGTCATCATCGTCATCATCGTCATCATCGTCATCATCGTCATCAACAGCATCGTCGTCGTCACCAGGCTCGTCACAACCATCGCAATCATCATCATCATCATCATCATCATCATCATCATCATCGTCGTCATCGTAATCATCATCATCATCATCACAATCATCATTACAACCACCATGAACATCATCGTCATCCTCATCCTCATCCTCATCATTACTACCACCACCACCATCATCAACATCATGATCATCATCATCAGCATCATCATCATCATCATCATCATCATCATCACCACCGCAATCATCCCCAGCCTCCTCCCCCTCGCCCTCACTGCCAGCCTCGCCCCCCGCCCTCGCCCCGACCTGGCGCCCTGAGCGGCCCGCGCATGCGCTCCCGCGCCGGGCGCTTGTCGCGCTGCTCCTCGCCTCGGCGGGACTGCGCGGCGGCGGCCAGGCCGCGGCCAGGAGGAGGCCGCGCAAAGCCGCAGCAAGCCGAATCGTGGTCGTCGTCGTCGTCGTCGTCGTCGTCGCGGTCGTCGTCGTCGTCGTCGTCGTCGTCGTCGTCGTCGTCGTCGTCGTCGTCGTCGTCGTCGTCGTCGTCGTCGTCGTCGTCGCGGTCGTCGTCGTCGTCGTCGCCGTCGTCGTCGTCGCCGTAGTCGTGATCGTCGTCGTCGTCGCCGTAGTCGTGATCGTCGTCGTCGCGGTCGGCGTGGAGGAGGGGGAGGAGGCGGAGCACAGAGGAGACGGAGGGAGAGGGGAAAGTGGGAGGATGAGGAGATTCGGGGGAACAGGTCCAAGGAAGGATGGGGAGGAGGAGGAAGAGGAGGAGGAGGAGGAGGAGGAGGAGGTGGAGAAGGAGGACAGGACACTGGCCTGGAATCGGAGACACATCGCCGATAAATCAGTGATTGGTCCCCGATGGCGAGACCGCGCGCACCTCGGCGGGTCGGGGGCCGACGCGCGCGTGTCGACGCGCGCGTGTGAACGTCGGCGGAACCTCGAGCCCCGAACCCGAAGACTCGACCGACAGGGGCACCCTGCGTTCCGCGGCGCCATCGTCGTGGTCGTCGCGGTCGTCGTGGTGGTCGTGGTCGTCGTCGTGGTCGTCGTGGTCGGCGTCGTCATCGTGGTCGTCGTCGTCGTGGTCGTCGTCGTCGTGGTCGTCGTCGTCGTGGTCGTCGTGGTCTTCGAGATCGCCGTGAACGCTCTCGTGTTCGTTGTCTTCGTCGTAGTGGTCGTCGTCGTCGTGGTCGTCGGCGTCGTCGCCGTGGCCGTCGTAGTCTTAGTCGTCGACGTGGTCGTTGCGGTCGTCGTCGTCGTGCTCGTCGTGGTCGTCGTGATCGTGATCGTCGCGGTCTTAATCGAGGTAGTGGTAGCCGCCGTCGCTGTCGTCGTCGTGGTCGTCGTCGTAGGTCGTCGTGGTCATCATGGTCGTGGTCGTCGTCGTGCTCGTCGTGGTCGTAAGCGTCGTCGTCGTCGTGGTCGTCGAAGTCGTCGTGGTCGTGCTCGTCGTAGTCGTCGTCGTAATCATCGTCGTCGTGGTCGTCATCGTGGTGAACGTCGTCATCGTCGTCGCGTAGCCGTTTTGGTCGTCGCGGTCGTCGTGGTCGCCGTCGTAGTCGTGGTCGTCGTGGTCGTTGGGGTCGTCGTCGTGGTCGTCGTCGTCGTTGTCGTCATCGTCGTCGTCGTAGTAGTCTTAATCGTCGTCGTCGTGGTCGCCGTCACCGAAGTCGTCGTCGTCGCGGTCGTCGTCGTCGTGGTCGTGGTCATCGTGGTCGTCGTGGTCGTCGCCGTCGTCGCCGTGGTCGTCGTCGTCGTCATCGTAGTCGCCGTGGTCGTGGTCGTCGTAATCGTCGTCGTCGTCATGGTCGCCATCGTCGTGGTCGTGGTCGTCGTGGCCGTCGACGTCGTCGTCGCCGTTGGGGTTCTCGTCGTCGTTGTCGTCGTAATGGTCGTGGTCATCGTGGTCGTCATGGTTGTGGTTGTCGTCGTCGTCGTCGTCATGGTCGTCGTCGTCGTGATCGTCGTGGCGGTCGTGGTCGTCGTAGTCGTGGTCGTTGCGGTCGTGATCGACGCCATCGTCGTCGAAGCCGTCGTGGCCATCGTCGTGGTCGTCGTCGTGGTCGTCGTTGCCGTAGTCGTCGAAGTCGTCGTCGTTGTCGTCGTGGTCGTGGTCGTCATCGTCGTTCTCGTTGTCGCCGTCGTCGCCATCATTGTCGTAATGAAATCGTCGTCGTGATCGTCATCGTCGTCTGGGTCGTCGTCGTCGTTGTGGTCGTGATCGTCGTGGTCGTGGTCATGTGGTCGGGTCGTCGATGTCGTCATGGTCGTGGTCGTCGTGGTCGCTATGGTCGTCAAAATCGTCATCGTCGTCGTGGTCGTTGTGGTCGTCCTCGTCTTGTCACCGTCGTCGACGTTATCGTCGTCGGCGTCTTTGTCGTGGCCGTCGTGATCGTCACGGTCGTCGTCGTCGCTGTCGTCGTCGGCGTCGTGGTCGTCGTGACCAGGACGGCGGGCTGCGTCCGCGGACCAGGCCTGCGTTTTCCGCGGCTCCAGCTCCAAGCCTAGGTCTGCCAAGGCCGTCTGCGCCGCCGCCTGCACTTCGCCCGCGAGCGCCGCCGCCCGCCAGCACGACGACGTCGTCGAGGTAGGCGAAGACGTGCAGTTCGCCTGGCTCCAGCCCCCGCTGCCCCGCGGCCGCCCGCAAGGCTTCCTCCAGCGCGCGCAGGTCGGGGCCGCATCCCGCAAGCAAAGAGCAGCGGCGCCAGCGGGTCCCCCTGGTCCACCCCGCCTGTGGAGCGCAGGCGGTGGCAGACCCTGGCCGCGTCCCAAAAGTTAAAAAAGGACTCGCGGCGGCAGAAGAGGCTGGCGTAGGGCAGCAGCGCCGGCGCCGCGTCCTCCATCTCCCGTAAGCAGGCCTCCCCGTTGACGGAGCAATACGCGTTCCTGGCGTCCAGCAGGACCGCCACCAACCCGGGGCTGGCCTCCACCAATGCCCGCGCCGTGTGCGCCAGGAGCTCTGTGCCTGCAGCCGTGCCCACGGCGAACTGCTGCCTCCCCAGGGCCTCAGCCAGTTCGTGCTTGCGGGGCGTGTCCAGCGCCCGGACCACCAGCCGCCGCCGCAAGATGTTCGGCGCGGCAATGGGCCGGACCCCGCCGCGTGGCTTCCGCAGCGGCGTGAGTTTCGCTAGCGCCAGTGCCGCGGCGGCGCTCTCGGGGACTCGCCCCTCTGCCACCTTCTCCCAGACTCCCAGAAGGAGCCAAGCGCGTTTGGCTCGGCGAGCACGGCAGCCAGCGCTCGAACCGCCCGCCGCAGACGCGGGCTGCCCCGCTGCCGCGGGGGCGCCTCGTGAGTGCCCTGTTCAAGGCCCCGTAGGACAGCGGCGGCGGCCCAGCCGGGAGCGCTGCCGCCTGGGGCAGCGCGGCAGCGGGGCCTCCTCCTCCTCCCCCTCCACATTCTCATCCTCGTCCTCATCATCCTCATCCTCATCATCAACAACAACCACAACAACAACACCAACAACAACCACAACAACAACCTCATCATCATCATCATCATCATCATCATCATCATCATCATCATCATCATCATCATCATCATCATCATCATCATCATCATAATAATCATCATCATCATCATCATCATCCATCCATCCATCCATCCATCCATCAATCAATCAATCAATCAATCAATCAATCAATCATCATCATCATCAATCAATCA